CATTTCACCCATTCCGTTGAAAATTCTTGCCGTATACTTTTTAGGACGCTATATCACGCGACGTTCATCGCGACATGGAGGAAAATGTCGTTTTTTCGGTTTGGTCACTCGCTCGTTTACCCTCTTGCCCGACGATAGAAATAAAACGGTGTCGAGCGAATAAAGATCCCCGGAGGGCACAGTGGTCGACAAATAACGTGCGTATTCGATACACGTAGGAACTTTACGATAATAAAAGAAGGTAATAACTTAGCGCATGCTGGTGAACGCGTAGTACATATGTGTGTCCCGCATCAGCGTTTCTCGTATCATCGATTCACGCCAACGCCTTCTCGTATCTCGTTTCACGGCAACGTGGCTAACTTGTCCCTACGTGGATCTAATGCGTCGCGATCCGCAGGATTTTTACCGGTAGGATAAATAAAAATAAACGCCTATACGTGCGCGGTTGCGATTTAATATCGCGACACTTTATCCCGGGTGCACGTGTACGCTTCCCGGGAGAGTTTTATCATAACGACGATACATCACGAGTACATGTATGTAACGGAATATATATGTACGGGATGGAAAGTAGAAGGTCGTTAATTTAACCCGCCGATTGTATTCCTACGTAAATCCGTTTTACACGAAGATAATAGCACGACTTGTCAAGGATTTCGCGCGAGCGAGAGCATAAATAACGTTGCATTCGCGCGTATATAGGAAATAATTTAATTTAATCGGATGATTTCTAGATATCGATAGCATTAAAGATTGACACGAGTATAGGAGGTATCGAGATTACAATATTCGATGTGAAAACGCTATTTCTCAATCGATTTCTCGATCGACAGCCATTGTCTGTCCCTATATACGAATTTAATGTCAATTGTCGATGTTGGCTGTCGGTTGCACACTGTTAGATAGTCAAAGATCTCGAGCTTCAGGCAAGGGATTCATTAGACATGGGGAAGGCATGACCCTCCGTCGTTCCCAGGACGTTCGACGAATACAGATCACGTAACCGCACTCGATGCAACGGGACGTACATTCATCCGTTCTGGGTTACCGAGCTGTCACGATGCGCCAGGATAATGTCCGGATTCGTATTCCCACGTGGCTCCCGGATCATGCAGATCCGTCTGCCATTATCGGCAAATCCGCCTATCGAAAACGTGATAGCCGACTTTCGCGCAATGTAAATCAAACTGCGGCTCGGTGCACAATGCATTTATGGATGCTTACGCGCACATTTTGCTATAAGGACATGACTTGTAAAGCTATAAGAATCAATCAAACCTACTTAAAGCAAAACAAAGAAGGAAAAAGAAATAATTGTCACTATAGAGCCGGTACGTGTTTCTAATGTTTCTAATGGCATGGAAGAACGTTATAACGAAAGAAGAATTTTACGCGGGTACAAAGATTCCGGTAAGGAGCGATTTACTAGCTCTACGTGACTAAAATACGCGCAGCATGATCTTACAATTCTTTTTACAAAATATTATCCGAGGTCCTGCATAGAAAGTTTCTCGACGTGAGGAAATTATCTTAAGTCGGAAGATGTTATATATATATATATATATATATATATATATATATATATATATGTATTTATGTACATATGTATAGTTTTTTTTTAAATGACGACACGCAGACAAAAAGATTTGTGACGTAATAATATAAAATTCAAAATGCTCACCCTTAATGTCAACATTACATAACAGTGGCGAAATAAGGGCTATTTCAATTGTGGAACGTTTAAACCACCAGCAATTACCGTTAAAATTACGCGATACTTACCGGAACACCGAAATTCTGCATTACGGCAGGCACCATTATTTTCAGGCGTTGCCAAGCTATAGGATGAGGGTGCTAGTAGCGCTCATTGTGAACTGAACATAATGCTAAAGACTCTTCAAAATCATCTGCGCACAATAGATTTGCTCAGATGTGTACCGAATGCATACATGAATTCGTTCATCATAAAATGAGTCGCGTATAATTATATTTCTTTCGCTCAGCAACGATTATCATTTTATTATAAAAATATCTCATGCGCTCAGATTTTTTAAAAAATAAGATTTTTTTTTAAATTTAAACGATACTTAAAATTTATTTAAATAAGCCAAACGCATGCGTGCGATAATTGATGCAAGGAATTGAATTAAATAAGAATATTTGTATGATATAAAAATAAATATAAATAAGAATAAATTGTACATTTTCAAAAGTAAGCACATAAACAATACTAGATGAACAATCTCGATGAATACGTACCCATATCTATTACGCTCTATTATTACAACTGTAATAACAAACATTACGCATTTAATGAAAATTATAGCCGTGCTATCATGTTAGCTTTCCCCGGCTGAAGTTTGTCGATCTATTCTTGCTACACACTTGTGAGAGAAAGGGAGATCTGTAAATTTACTATAGCTTGGTCAGGGAAACCGCAATTTTGGCTGGACGACCATAATTAAACCGGGGAAAACTGGATAATTGATTAGGTGAAGGTAGTCTGGAATCGCCAATATTAACAATGTGTGTGTGTGTGGATGCCAGCACATAAATCAAACATATATGGGTATATGTATAAACATACACTTTATTATGATAATTTATAATTGTTGTATTCACAATGAATATGAGTAATAACATATCGTAATTAGATATACAAACTAGTCTATCAAGTAGTAACCTAGACTAATTAAATTGCGGCTAATTATACACGGCTCGCGTACAATTTCTGGTACCGAATTTGCACATCAATACCGCAAATTTTTCAATTTTGTATTCTTTTTAAATGCTTATGTTTTCATCTGCTATTGAACGGATCGATAACGCTAAGCTCTTGTTGACATTCTACCCATTAATTCCGTTCGTATAATGATAATGCTAATCAGAAATTGGATTTGTCGATCGGCCAAACGTCCTAATAAGAAGAAGACTTACACATATAATATATATGTATATATAGTAAAAATTAAATATGTTGCAATTAAATCTATTTGCTGACGTTTACTTATATAAATGGTACGGGGCTCATTCCTATATACTATATGAATTAAAAATTATTTTTAGATAAATGTGTCCCATCTTTTCGACGTTCGACCATTACGAAATATCACAAAATTGTTTTCACTAATATAAATTTGTATTTGTCACGGCGATAATATAATTTTATTTATGCAGCTATACTATCTCAAGGAATTTATAATGAAATATACGTGGTGCTAAATGCTTATTTCTTTTAAATTGGGAAAATGTCTAAGGCTTAAATGTACGAAAAATAGAATACTCGGCTCACTTCCATTTATCGTATTAAACATATTAACTTGCAAATATTTTGTTTCTTACCTTAGTTAATGAGCAACTCTCCTATGATCCTCTATTTTTGCTTCATCCGTACGGCTTTTACGGAAAAGCTTGAGATTTCTCATCTCTTGATTGTAATGATAATATGATGCTTGTGCAAAATTTATGCAATTCTGACTCTGACGCTGGCCGATTAACATATAATTTTATTACATTAACTTTCTTAATTAAATTGTCTTCCAATTTAATCAAACATTAAGTATGAAATAATGTATATAAATTTATACATATATGTATACATTTAATACTCTTTGTAAAATATAATTTTAAAAATATTAAGTTGAGAAAGAAATGTTTCAACTCTGGTGTAATTAAAGCGAAAAGTTTCATACGTATTTTATTCAACATTAACTACATTAAAAAGGAATATTTAAATAAAAATGTTCGAGTTGCGAGTATCAAACAAGAACCGTGGAAAGAACGGTATAGTAACTGAAAATATAACTTCATACATATGCATTGTCATTTCCATATACCATTATAGTTTAGATCTCATGTTTCATTCTCATCTCCACGTTTCGTTGCATTTTTTCCCACTATCCGCAGTGTTCTGCAAAGTACCATAGGCCGTTGTAACCAGATGGCCAAAGTGTATTTATATTGAGTTTGTTATAATAATATTACACATGACAATAATTTATAGTAGAGAAGTTTAATAAGCAACATCGTCAAATTTTCGATGTAACATATTTTTTTCTGTATACAGGTATGTACATTGGTCTTCTTAATTTTTGGCAAAGTTTTGCAAGTACACGTAAAGCGATGTACAGGTACAACAAAAATCTATTAAATTGCGTTAATGTTAACAAGTTATATTTTATTTCTTTTGTAAATTATGTAATAAGTTATTAATTACAAAAAATCTATCGATTTTATAAACTGGAAGCAATTCCCTCTCATCTCCTTAGCAATATTTTGTTTAACCTTTAGACAATTTTAATATATTAAAGTTAATATAATTATATATAATTTTGATCTTATTTAACTTAAAACATAAAAACATTTTATAGTAATTAAATGCTCATTACATGTGTATGTGTGTGTGTGTGTGTGTGTGTATAAATTTTTACTATAATTATATAATTGCTTTTATAATACATTCATAAATTTTGAAAAAAACTTTACTGTCTTTTCTTTACGATGTACTCGCAGCATAACATTGCCATACCAAGCTCATCGAAGAATGTATATCTCTTTGGAAAAAAATTATTTCTGTTTTTTCTTTCATATACAAAAGCCATACCAAACGCCGCAGATTAGTGGTACATTCATTATATCCTAATATTGGCACCGTGTATTTACGTGCGTAAAATTGCGTATCTACGAGAGAGGCACACAAAGAATGATCCGAGAATGATTCTTAAAAGTATATATTTATATACATTCTCATCTAGAGTACTGTGCTACATTGTCATCGTCATGACGGTAAATTAAAACTTGACGGCAATAATTCTCGTTTTTTTTTTTGGATACAGTTCCGTCGTTGACATAAGCGGTAGAAAAAATATAATGTTTATCTCGATGAATGTTCGACTTTTAGAGTGTTTATTGCTAATAAAAATTTAAGCAAACCCTTAGTAATGAATTCTCCTTGACAAGAATAATTTATTTTTGAATTATTTACTTTTGAGACATGAGATGATATTAGTTTATATATTTAAATATTTTTTTCTCTTGATGACTATATAGTTTTGCTAAATTACTCACCGAACTCTCCGTCAAAATATTTTTTACAAATATAATTTTTAGTTTTTTTTTGCGATATTGTTTAATAAAAGGCTGTGTAGTTCAGGTGTATATGTATATAACAATAGCTTTATCATTTCATCGAAACAGACATCATAAAAACGTTGAAAGCACACACGAGATACAGCAAATATTTATAGAAATACGTCATACTACATGTAACTATATTACCAATTACAATTACAATCGCGTTTCGAAAGTGTAGACAGACATATGCTAGACGCACATGATTTTTATATCATATATCATGATAATGCATTTAATTTCACGTGTGAAATTTCGCAATAGTATGTCGCACACAGTTATTCGCTCGAATCTCCCTTGGTCCTCTCTCGTTAAGTATCCTTACGATAAATTTAAAAGTGGCAAAATAATTTTTAAGGAGTTTAATGCTAGCATTCAGTTTTCATCATTGCACACATTGTCATTTGTCCTGGCCTGAACGATTTAGTTTGTTCAATTTTAGAACGTTTACGTCCAAAGCCACAAAGTTATCTACAGAGTAGGCATTTATTTTTTCCTCTCTTTTTTCTTGTCAGCAACGTTATATTTTAAAAGATTGTGACCTTCTCTGTCCGATCGACAGTATAACCAGGATGCCACAAAGAACGCTGGGATATATATAAACGATAACGATACATGCATACCTTTTTCCATTTCGATATCATGAATGATCCGCGACAGGTCGAGCTTGCGGTCCCAAATAACACACAAACACGGCATACGAAAAATATTCAGGCATTCTCCTATAATAGGACTCTCTTCGTCGCTGACAATCGTCGAACGAGGCTTCTACGGTTAGAACTGCACTCTTCTCTTCATCTTCCACGGCCCGTTTTCATCTGGTGAACGAACAGGAGAGAGGGCCGTTTTCCCGACTGGCGTGGACTAAAGTGTCTCCAGGAAATTCTGTACGAGTAGGGTTGGCGTAGTCACCCGCGTCTTCCCTTTTCTTGGCTGCTTGCAAGTCCGCACGTTGCAACGCGGAGCCCGCTGCAGCTGCTCCGACTTGTTGCTATCTTGTTCGAGCTGCACCGATACACTGGCTACGCGCGGCCTCGAACATCCATTCTCCTACAACAGACAATTACCGATGCTCGAGCGGAATTTGCGACCATTCCGTGATTTGTTTGAATGTCGATGTATGCATGTGGATGATAATTTCTGTGCTTGATTGTGTATGACACACACTAGGATATATGTGAATTGATTTAACAGAGAGAGAGGGAAAGAGAAAGAAAGAGAGAGAGAGAGAGAGAGAGAGAATCATTATTATATACATACTAAATTAATGACACAGGTGTGTTATATGTAGGGATATAGTTAAGGAAAAGTTAAATAGTAAATGGTAATAATAAAATGCGTTAATTAATTAGTACCATCACTTTCGAATAGCGATGAGAGCGAATATTAGTTTGAACGCACAAGTCTCGGGTGGACTGAATGCAGTTTCAGGATTATGAAACTTTAATAAACTTTACTTACTATGCATGTCATGTTTCCAGCTACGGCTGACACAACTTTTGCGTGTATGTGCCTAACACGCATATATCTATGACAATACCTTTAATTCTTCTTTCTACACGAATTTATTCAATGTAGAATAAAGTGAGAAATAACAGAGATTTAATAATAGAAATTTCAAATATCAAACACATTTTTATGCTTAAATATTTGTTAATTTGTTAAAATTATCAATGTAGAAATTAATAATTCCAAATCTATTACGTCACGATGATTTATAATTATGTATAATCACACTTTAAAATTATATTTATATATCTATATGTTCATGTATTCTTTAGCATATATTAGCTTTTGAATGAAAGATGTAGGGATTGCATTTTTTTGATTGCATGATTTCAAAAAAATATTCGACTATCTTTGAAACTAGTTCATAAATGTAAAAGAGTTTTACGATTATGGCATGTGATGGCATGTGATAATTATAAAAGCGATTTAATCCGGACAAAACGGTAAAAGGACAATGTGTGCTTAAATGCGCAAGTTTTTACGGCTGAAATTTTTAATGAGTGGAACAAGTCGTGCCCGAGCCAATTAAGTTGCCGTAGAAACGAGACCAGAATAAAAAATGGAGAACAAAGGGGAAAAAGATTAAGCGGAGCTATATCTATTTAATTAGAATTATGGCAAAACACAACGCGACTGAAGAATTGTAAAAGGATAGCAGATAATAGCGAAAGAAATAGCAAACAAAATTTATGAAACATTTGCACATTGTGCCAATATTACTAACCGATATACAGAGATTCCGTTGGTGTTGATGAGCCCTTTGACGAGATTCGCTTTGTAGCTCCCACGCACGAATATATAAATCCCCGCGATAGATGAAGCCTCCTCGTTTTGCTCGCAACATTAAATGCCATCTGAAACAAAGAGAAGAAATAAAATTTCGCATTGTTTACGTGCTACGATACGCGTATATCTGTTTATTTTCATTATAAAATATTATGTTGTTCACGAAATAACGAGCTATACTCTTTATAAAATGTGCAATGTTTTTAAAGATTTGCATTTCATGTAAATTATGGAAGGATTAATAATTGTTGGAAGAGAGTAGAGATTTTTTGAATTTGGATCTTCCTCCAACAATTATTTAATGATTATAGAAACTTCAAAAATCTCAACGTCCGCTTGTGCACTGATGAAGTACCATCATTTATTTCCGCTCGCACTCTTTAAAAAATAAATTCGTAAATGACGTACCTTTTTTTACGCGTCACTTGCGCGTTAAATTCATTCCTGCTCTCCCTACTTTAGCTAAAGTATCGTGTTTACGAGCCGTAAAAAAGGGGAATACGGGAAGTTGTGTGAATAGATGGAAGCGACACAAAAATACATGACCTTATATCCGTGTACAAATTTGACTTGCGAATTTGCGACTATAATATCTCACTTAGTATTCTCACTGTAAAATATTTGGAACTTTGTATTTCTATTGGATCGCATTACTATTTGTTTACCCTTGATTGTAACGTTCGCTGAAAGAACAACTCATGCATTAATTGATCTTGTTGCAGTTTGAACAGTATTGAGATTTACGTTCTTAATCGTCTATAGAAAATGCAATGTCAATGCAATTTGCATAATTTTTAAATAAAAAGTCTATTGTTATATGTATTGTAAATTTCACAAATTAACTCACGTAATGCAGAAAAATATGTCTTTAATTTCGCACGAATCGCACCATAATTATAACCTAATAGCTAACGTTCTAATTCGCAATCGAATAAATCTTGTGGTGTCAAAGTGAACGTAGCGTTGTCCCGGCTGTACATTGCCCGAATAATCTTGATTGTTATCAAGGCTGTAACATTTACGGGGAGGTAGTTAGAGCAGATTCGAGGCATCGACAATACCAACGTTTTCGTACTGATTAATCGAAAATGCATGCCTATGTATATCGAATAGCTTTATCCTTCATCCTGTATCAATGTCGATATCGATCCGCGCCAGCGACAGCGTTGACGTTCGACTGGCCTGACTGTAATCGCGACGTGACTTAGCAATCTCAAATGCGTTCGAGCGCATCGGGTCAGTTTGAAATCGTTCGCGATCGATCGTACGTATTATCGGGAGACAGTAGCAATTGCAGCAATACGGGCCTCTAACGCGATGCAAATAATATTAAAATAAAAGTGCTAGCTGAAAAAATGTTTCATATCAACCAATAAAAAATTCAAGAGCAGTATTAATGTCGAATGAAGATTGAAGATGGATTTAAAATTTTAATATATTCAATTTTGATGTTACAAATATATATTGTCTCTATGGAAATATATATTCTCTCTTGTATGCGTCTCCCCTTTCCCTCCATTATTACGAGCAAAAATGGAGATGGTGCTTTTGCGCCGACATCCGTATATCGTCGCACACATGTCACTTGCAATTTCATCAAAGGATTTAAAGATTAAAGTTTTGCGGTGAGCATTGTTAAAACCTTGGTGCTTCGAGCGGACATTTGCGTGAAATAAACTCCAGCTCAACTGTGGTTATAACGAAGTGGTAACGCGCGGCTACTACAGGTTATATCTGTCGTTTGGTGGTACGCCGATAGACCAGATGAAACATGGAGCACCATGAATTATAAAATCGCTATTTACAACGGAAGATAGAGGCCATGTCGACCGGGAGCGGTCGCGCGCAAATCGAAACGCCAGTGTAATATCGCATCCTGCCTTGTGCAAAACGATAGCGCGGCAAAGTTTGATACAAAATTATTGCGGCACATGGGCATTTCTTTCCCGCATTCCGACATGTCCGGAATGTTGTTGCAGGTTGTTGCGAAGCGCGAGATCCGCTAGCAAGTCGTTTGCTGCGATCGTGACGATGCATCGTGGCAATTCCGCAATCGCCGCCGCAGACCGTCACTTTCATTCTACGCTTATCGTGAGTGCGTTAAATTTCCGAGAGAAAAAAAATATTTACTCAAACGCGCGCGTTCCATTTCATTGGTCAAATCTACAAAAGTGCAGGTAGCGTCGGTAAATTCTCGATTTATCAGCTCGTCGAGCGCTTAATGCAACGCAACGGCGACGACGTTATCGCACCCGTGGCATTATCCCCCGTAGAGTGGCTTTCCTCTGAATTTATATGTCCGATAGGGGAAAACGTGCGAGCGGGAGGGTAGTTTGACGCATTTCCACCGTAAATGTGCCAGCCATTCGATCGACTTTTACGTTGATCTTTATTCTAGATATTATTTTCTAGACGGTTGATTCGCGCGAAGTATTTATTTTATTCTAACAGGATTGTACAGCTAAACATGATATCTCTTGCTGTGTGCACAATGAAAATTTTACAATGCTTCAACGCTAATTAATGTGCTAATAAATATTTATTTCAATGAGTGAATTATGATCGATTATAAAATTATTGAAATCGGTATGATTTAATGATAGACAAATAAGCAAATTTAAACGATAAAACACACGAGATATTTCAAATTTATTTTCATTCGAACTTTCGGTGCTCGCTGCGTATAACTCTGCATTTTGCAGTAATTTAGCCAATGTTTCGGAAATTGGACATTTGTATGATTCTTTAAATGGAAATTCATTGGACGGAAAACATTTATAGTAATTTCATATGCAATGATCAAACGATTTTAGTATACGGAAAATGCGATATGCCTCTAAACCATAATGATAATCGGCGATATTTTCGACGGATGTTATTCCTCTCTATTGGATAACAGACACAATTTTAATTAAGTTAGCGATTAATTCGACTATGAAAAGATATTGATTTAAATAATATTATTTAAAACAAATAATTATGAAATGTGACGTTTATTATATTCAATGATTTTTATTTATTAGCCAATCATTTATTTATTACTAACCAAGATCATTTTACATATAAATAAAATGTTTATTTAATTAACGAGTAACGCGATGCTTAACGTTATAGAGTCATTAATAAATATACTTTTATTTTTTAAATATACTTTTTCATTCGTTTTGTATTGAAATATATATCGTTAAATTACTTCGTGAAAAAGAGGGATAAATGAAAATACAATACCAAAAAAAAAATAAGTATAGAGACCGGAGAATTTATTTCTCATTTCTTTTATAATTCATTTTATAGTCCATTCTGAATATGAGCACTTTATAAAATATCACTCCATTGTTAGCGACAATATAAAAAGATTTTCGTCAATGGCTCAGAAAATTGCGTATCAATCTTATTTTCGCAAGAAACTAAGATATGTCTCGATGATTTATCGTACGCGCGAACGTATAATATATTCTAATATCTAGAACAAATTTCTTTTAACTTTTTATTATTATTATAAATCATACAATTATATATATATATATATATATATATATATATATATATCTTTTTTTATTGGATTTTGTGTTTTATCACATATAGCGGTTCAATTTAATTATTCATCAAATATAATTGTAATTAATTGCGAATAATGTAAATAAAAGGATATTTCATAGAGAACAATTCTAATACATATGCTAGATATAATATTTTCCCATATAATATTTTCTTCAAAGAAAATAAAATATTACATTCTATATAATTATAAAAAATGTGCACGCTCTAAAAGAAATTATAGCATTTTAATTTCATAATTTCAACACTCATATGCATATATATATCTTACATATTTCTGTATACGCTATATGCATTGAATATGTATGTGATCTCTCTGTTTGAATACATTATGAAGAAATGTCAAGAGAGTGCTTTTCTCTTACATAAAGTATTCGATAAAAGATATGATACTTTCATTGTTTCTTAAGCTAGTTCAAAGGAAGCAATTTTCTTAAAATGATATCGTAATATGTCACATGTCCAGATGGTTTCCTCCACAGTGTCAATATCATATTGTACGTCTATAAAAGCGGACGTGGTCGAGATACCCGATATCAAGCTACATGCCGATCGCGACACTTAATTACTTTAGATCGGAAACGGCGTGTCCCGGAGCGAGGCACAAATGAAACCGTGACCCAATCAACGAAAACCACGGGCGATTTATGAGAAATTAATCCTACTATCACGAATCCAGTGGAAAGTGGATATAACGGCAACCTGCCTCGGCTTGGCTTTAAATAAATGAAACATGAAGCACTCTCATATTATAGAAAGTTCCTAGAACATTCTCTGTCATATTAACGATGTCGCGATTCAAAATAATATAATTAAACAAGGTCACTGCTGCCCGTTTGCCGCTGGATTGAACAATACCCTTCAAACTTTGTTTTGCACGTTTATTGATAGACAGGAAAATATATCTTGATTAATATAATTATTCTATACGCAATGTATGCCGTTCTGATTCACTACATATTGAATAATAATATAATAATAATATTGTCCCAGCAAATAATAAATATATATTTTTCGCAAACAATAAATAAGTTAAACATACACAAGCATATAAGATGCATTAGTGAATGCGACGTGATAAATAACAAATAGATGGAAACAAATGTTTAGCATTTACCCGACCGTTCTTGGAAATCTCCATTAAATTAACCCCACCGCCCTCCATCATCGCTAAATTAATTCTGTTGGAAAGTCACATTAAACGTTATTTGCATCATTTGGCATTTATTTATAGACTAGTAATAATCATGATTTACATATAGACTAGTAATAATCATATTAATATTGTTGTGCATCTATTTTCATCTCGTATAAGTGACAGATTTTCCGTTTTCTTTCAGTCAGATATACATGGCAGCTACGATCCACCAAGTCGTTACGGATTGTGGAATTTATATTTGCATTTAAAATCCGAGCGATGCGCCACATCTGTCAAACGCATATTGAAATTTCACGTGTGGTAGCAACAGACATAGAGAGAGAAAGAGCGAGAGAAATTCGCTGCTCGACTGCCTATCCGCCGGCGCCTCTCCAAGCGTTGTTTCTCCAAAATTTAACCCCTCTTTCGCCCCGATGCTCCTACATCCCCCGAGCCACGCCTCCCTGACCCTGCAAAACTCGTATACGCTCGGACGACGCCAGTACGCCGCTGGTATGTCGCTCTTCGTTGCTAGCAACCAGTTGAGAGAGAGAGAGAGAGAGAGCGAGAGAGAGAGAGAAAGAGAGAAAGAGAGAGAGAGAGAAAGTCGGCTACAAAAACAGCGCGAATCGTCGCAGGCAAATTTACTGTGCGTGTTTTATAGGCGCTATTTGCACACACACGTACACATATACAAGGGGGACGCAGGGGGATTACAGTGCGAGGGTGGAAAAATAGGCGACGGAGGAGGTGGCGGTCGTAGCGAAAACACGGGAATCCACCACTTGCGCGCCCGTTATCGTATAATCTACGTATGTACGAGACGCGGCACGTACATAAACGCCCGGATTCCCGACACTGAGACAAAATGATCGCGTCGACTCACATAGACAGTGCCGAATCTGTTTTTTTTCGCATTCTTTCTTTTTTACATTTGCTCTTCGATATATTTCGCATAAAATACGAAAATTGCGTGGAATTTTTAATCAACTCACGCGGAACGAAGATCGAGCCCGAAGAGCTTGCCGGGAAAAAAAAAATTGAATTCGTTCGCTGATTGCGAATCGACGTGTGCGCTAAACGTACCGAGTACTTGCCGCGCGAATAAGCCCGCCGCCCGATCCACGCAACGCTGCAAAGCCCATCTGAAATTGAAAGGATTTCCGCGCGACGATACTACGCTTCGCCGCATGCACGGAATTTGCAACACGCGGGCGAACCCGTGTTTGTACACACAGTATCGCGTTTGTACCGGGAAAATTACGAATTTCGACATTACGTTGCGCTCTCGAAACTGTTCTCCGAAAGAATGTAAATTTGATACTATCTTAAATGTAATTCTATGGAATACACTTGGCGTAACGCTTCCCTTTATTCTAATGTTTTCGCGTGAGCGATAAAATGCGTGGAAAATCCAACACATGATGCTGTTCTCACGGTAACTTTGAAATATGAAAATGCTTTTTAATCCTCCTGGAAGCTGTTACTCCCGCTGTAATAGCGACTATAGATACGTCCAGAAATTCGCGTACGAAGCTCGCAAATGCTCACCTGATGATGAGTTGATGTACCCTGGACCACTGACCTCGGGACCTCAGAATTCTGAGTGTACCGATAAGCGAAGGTTTATGCGACGGGAAAATCTTCATGGCTTTGAAATAGTACTGGAGCGAGGGCAGCCATTTACCTGAAAGAGACGAAGCAAGTTTCTCGCGAATGTAAATATGCTTTTAATTATGTGCGTACCGCTTCGTAACAGACGGCTCGACGATGAGATTATTCTATCTTCGACGACAAGCATCGCTTTTCCTCTATCGGGGATTTATATGTCTTCCATGTCTTGCTACACTTTAAGCTTATTTCGTTTAATAACTCACCGTTCTTGTACAACCAGTAAGCATACTCAGTGAGAGCGTCCGGGTTTCGTGGCTGAAGATGAATTACATGCCTCAGGAGTTCGCCTGTTGCAGGACCGGTGGCGATCCTAGCCAGAACTCTAAATGCTGGCGCATACGCCGGATCCAGTGACACGCATCGCTTCAGCATCTCGATGCATTCTTCAGTTCGATTAGTTCTTCTGAAAACAAAATTTTATTGCGAATTGTAAAATTGTAACTATGAATGTCTTACACAGACTAAGCATTACTAGGACGATCAATACAGATAATTCACAATATATATGACACATTGTCATATATTCATCAATTTAATTTTTTTATATATTTTTTTTATATATTTTTTATATATTTTTTATATATTTTTTATAATTAATTAGTAAAAGTTATATTTTTTATAATTAATTAGAAAAAGTTATATTTTTTAAAAATTAATTAGTAAAAGTCGCGTTATTAAAACCAAGTAAATAATGTTATACGAGAATGACAGTTGCGACAGCTTCTAATATATTTTATGTAAATAAAGATTGCAGTAGCCATGTGTATATAAAGAAAGAACATTTCAATAAAATATAATCAACGATGCACACAAACAGCGTATAATTATCATTTATTATTCTTAACCAGTAACGAGCAATTCGATTCTAATTAGTGTCAATTACAAATTTAATGGATACCGCATTCAAACAATATTATTTAATCATTCAATACCGACCGTGCGTCTCATTGCTTATGCGACTCGCTAAAATAATATCATTGCAATGTATTTCTTGTTTGGCTTAACCTACTGTGCAAATAAATGTGATGAAAATGCTACATTAAATTACAAAGTAGGTTGACGGGCAGGGTAAAAAAAGGCCTGGCGTTAAAAAGAACGACGGACAAGTTACCGTGGTAAATTCGGCATTCCCGTACAAATTGAACGGCAATTTCGCGAGCGCGTCCGGTTGAATTATAGTCGTGCGCTTTCATGTAATCGACTTTGCGCCCGACAAAAGACCCGGTAATTGTCAGAGAATGGCGACGCCAATAATGCCGATCGACAATGCCGTTTTTACTGTTTACGCCTGCAGCTGGAGCGATGCTTTTTGCCAATATCGCTCTATCGACATTTTCGTGTGATCGAAAGAGGAAATACTAACAGATAAAAGGGCATTTATATAGATACATATCTGCGCACAAAGTATGGTATATATCTTGGATTTAACTTAAAGTATTTTAAAACAGAGCTTTTCATAAATTTATTTTCTTTTTTTTTATTATATTTTATATTATTTTCTTTTAATTTTTGCATCCCGATTTTTTTAATTCCTAGGCAGAGAGAGTTTTTGAGATATATAATTATGCACATATAATTATTCAGAGAAATTCGTCACTCTATATAAATAATAATACATTATGTGACATTATATTGATGATAGTAGGAAAGTGAAATTCAATAAATATTAATAAATAAATCCCACATGTCATAAAATAACAAGTAAGTTTTTACGACATTTTCTTATAATGATTTTTGATGATAACGCGCGATAAATAATAATAATTTTATAATTAAAGTGAAAAGAAATAAAAGTATGTATCGTACGATCTATCCACAAATGTAGTCTCACACACACACACACACACACACACACACACACACACACACACACACACACACACACACATACTCTATTTTAAAAAGACAATCACTTTATTATAGTACATGTCATATAGATACGGTATATTTTTCATGCGTAACACACAATATACATTAACATCACTTTCCATCACGTATTTGAGTCATTGCGTAATTTATTCAACGCGCAAGCGCTAATGTGCATTGCGTAAAATCAATTATATAGTAAATACGCCACGCGTTATATTATACATTAAATTACATTAAAAATGAACTGAGCTAAAATGTGTCGTTGTTTCAAGTATATAATGATAATATTATGCAAATGTCATATCGATACTATGCCATTATAATTATATAAATTAGCGCAAAAGGCTATTGCGTTAGATAGTTAATGAGTATAATCGGTTATTGCATTAAGCGTTATATAGGAAAAGTAAAATTTAGCAATATTACATAGATATTTTTAATACAAAAATACAAATAGATAGTTTTTATTTTTATAATTTTATTATTTATATAGCATACTATATAAATACTAAAGAATAGCAGAGGAAATGTTTTGAAAAAATGTTTAATTAGTTGTTGTATAAGTATATCATCGAATGTGTGTGTGTGTGTAGGTTTTACATAAAGATTTTTGAAAAAAAGAGAAAGAGAATTAAATGAGACGTCGCTTATTTTTCACGATTTACGCACGATGAGCGAGAAATTGTTACATTTACGCAACGGTCGACCGCGTGTATCCCACTTCTACCCTTAATTAAACTTTAATTTATCAAGTAGGAAGGCGTTAATTAAACTTTAATTTTAACCATGCCACCGGAATTACAGCTCAAGCTAAATTTACTGTTGGAAACGCTATTCGCTCTAGGTCGATGACCTGTTGAAAATAGTGAACTAAAAGATGTGGAAGATATTTTTATAACACGAAAACGATCAAAACAATTTCTAAGTATATTTTATAATTTTACTATTATAAGTAATATTGACATAATGCGAGTCAATGCGTTATAGTCCCTTCTCCTCTGATGAAGTAATTAATGAACATTATTAATAATCTTTGATTAGTGTATGTATCATCTTTCGAAGAAGATGTTATTCACTAACCTGTACAATCGTCCCAGATTATAATGAGCATTTACGTGGCCAGGTTGAGCATGAATAGCTGCTAGAAAATGATGTTCCGCTTGAGCATCTATCGTGAGAGTTCCAAGATTATTATGCGCACTGGCATAACCTGGCCAAAGCCTGAAACAAGTAAAATTATTTTTTTAATACTTACAATCTCTCATCTATAATATACATTCATGTTATGATTGTAATTTGCGTAAAATGTGTCACAAAAATATAATAATTGTTATTTCTTAACATCAATCTTATTTTTATAAGAAACTATCCTTCGTTTTTTTTATTTTTTATGGTGCTATATAAAACGATAATAATTCGATAAAATATCATTCCATAATTTTTAAATATAATTAAAAATTTCGCACGCGATAACTATGCAGAATGATGAAATTACTTAAATGAATCAAAGATCACGGACAATTGAATAAAGGAAAAAAATGGGAAAGTGAAGAGTGGGTTTGGTTCAACAGGACGCGAAAAGAAACAAAAGGATGGATTGAATCGCGCCAACGGAGGCTCTACAAGCGAGATAATGGATCGGAATTACCCCGGGCCGAATCCATTAGCCTTTGATGGCTTTCGTCATTCTAGGAGAATAGTATTTCCTACGAATCACGATCGAACGCATTTTCAAAACGTTTACTAGAGATATCGATAGATAATTGGCCGACATTTAACGCACACAAACACAACTTTTATTTATTGAATACGTTATTCAATTATAATGTATATTATAACGCAATTTGTTCAATCAACAATTTGTACGCAATTTATCGCTCTCATTTAAAATAAAAAAAAAGAGTATCTTCTCTAAAAGGAACAAATACCGCATTTAATTACATCGCAAATGCATTTAAATACATTACTTGCTCTCAAATTGATTTTCAATATCTGTCGCAAAATATATAATTTCGAAATTCTAAAATACTTTGTATGTATAAAAACCACAAGTAAATAATATGTTAATTTAGAATATTTCAATATTGAAATAGATATTAATTGAAACAGATATTAATAAATAAAACTAGTCGAGAATCGAATAGATAAAGTTAGAAATTGGATGTATTACATACATTACTCGCATATTGACTCAATGTCAACACACATGTGACTATATCAAGAAATATTAGAAGAGAAAGATATTCACCAGCAACATCTAAGCTTGGCTGTTTTGTAACGGTATGAGAGCCTGACAGGGGCTGTTTCCGAGAGCTCGGTAAGGGACTGTCAAGGGCGAAGAAAAATACGGAGATAGGATTCGTGTAAGAGTTACACAGCGGAATGAGAAAAGCGGATAAAGGTCCAAGAGAAAATCCAATGTATCTATTCCAATATCATGAAAAAAAGACCGCAGAAGTTTATACACGTTTTATACACGTATATATTTTTACTAACGAAAGTGCCTATTTCCATACGTGCTGGGTATAACGATATAGCTTTCAACGGAATAAAATATAACGGTATAAAATAAAGTGCAAAGTTTAAAGAAAATATATAAGATAAATTTTCATAAATATAATTAATATAATTATGTAAAAAAACTGTCACTTTATTATTTCAAATTTTACGTCAAGATTCAACGACAGCGTTCACAAAATAAAACGAAAATTTTTCATCGCCGTCTTGGTTATGGATAGTTATCAAAAATTCTTTGGAATTTCTTCCACCGTCTTAAAATGCAGACATGCCTTATACCTTGGCTTCCCTGCCTTCGGGAAAGAGGATTGCGTAGAAGGTATGCGTTGCATCCGTCGAGGATAAGTCACAATCCGTGAAAATGCTAAGAGTGTGCGTGGGACTGAGAATACAAGGTATTGAAGGATGACGAAGTCTATTCGAGTAGTAGCGAGTTCGCGTGCTTACCTCTAGGAAAATTCGGTCGAAAATCACGACGGATTCAGAAATTGCTAAAACTCGGCACAGCTCGAAAAGAATATTGTCCTGTCGAATGAAACAAGAAAGTTTCTGTAAGGAATTGACGTAAATCGCCGTTTATTCGAATCTCATGGGGAGAAGTGTCGGTATGGGAAATCTGATTTATTTGAAAGACCGCTTAATAGGATCAATTTAGAAAGGCAAACCATCTATGACGAAGATAATCTGCATGTTCTTCAAACAGAAGTCCCAAATCACGCGGTTGCGGAACGTCGCAGTCATCATTTTGCCCAGAAGGATAATTACCGTTCACGCTCGGTGATCTTCTTTTAAATTTTAAAGTTTGTAAAAATGTCTCTATATACTTTCTTAAATTATTATAATTGAGACATATAACGTGAAGGTATGTATTTTCGAAAATTGATAGTGATAAGAACCGAATAATTTAAAAACATTATAATTACATCATCTACATATTATCTTTTTAAATTATATATTTCACTTTTATTTATTATAGTTATCTTTGAGAAGATAAAAAGCTATTATATACTTTTTCCAATCAATCTCCGAAGCGATGCTCGAGATGCGTCGCACGTTTCCGAGGATAACTCGAGATCGAGTTAAGAGAAAATCAATCAGCTGTTTCGCAAACTTCGTTAAAAGTTTTCGTGCGCGTGTGCGGATGCTATCGAAAGCGCTCTTTGAAAATCACAGCTTGAAGAAAGTCGAAGGGAAGGTACTTCGCGTATCAGTTTACTTTTTGTTGCGCACGTGATTAAATCGTCGCGTCTTTCATACTGGGCAAGCAAAACATTTGATAATCCCGGATTTTCATATCTCCCCATCTACGTAGGCTTGTTTCGCTGCACGATCGCAACATGCTCACTACCGAGTGCAAAACAGCCTCAGGAGCTAGTCGTCTCCATAAAGCTGTACAAAGTTTTAATGAAGGCTACTTTGTCGAATAGAGTCTAATCTCTCGCAACAATTTTTCATTTGTGCTAACATAAAAGCACATGTTCCTGGCAAATAATCCGTCCGTAAGATATGATCGACAACTGCATAGTAAGCAGCAAAAATTTAATCGAAAATTATGCCATGTATGTTTCATATAAATTATTTAGTAAAATATAAACTAAATTACTAATAAAAATAGATACAAATAAGAATTAATATATATATATATATATATATATATATCGATATAATATTTTATTTTTTATAGAATTAAAAATAATTTTATATTAAAATATTTGGATTTTATTTCAAATACAAATTCTTTTGTTTTTTGACATGAAAAATACACATTAAATGTATATGATATAAATAAATATATATACATAATAAAGAAATATAAATAAATATGTATATATATATATATATATATATATATATATATTTAACGATGAAAAATATATAACTCAAATATTTTACGTATTTCTCGTATTGCTACCATATAAATACTTAGCAAATGTCAAAATAATTAATCATACACGTTTTTAAATACTAGCTGCAAAAAAATTCCTTTCCTTCCTCCCAACTCGAGATTCTCTCATGCGACGCGCGGAATATGTGCTGTCGAAAACTCATGTAAAAGATGGAACGTCGTGCAGTGGTCTCCGGAGAGGGACGCAGAGAAACCTCGATATTTACACGTCAGGGGTTGCCACCCCCGTAAAGTATCCGGCGGGGTACCACGCGTGCCAGGAGTGTCTCTTTATTGGATAATAAATAACCTGTTTCATTTATAAGAAGGAGATAAAGTGCGGTAGACTATGCTCCCCGGATAGATCCTTCCTCACCGAGCCCCTTTCCTGCAGCATCATTGCCCGGAAGTTGAAATTGCCAAATATACGACGCACGTGTTTTCTTTCCAACACACACACACACACACACACACACACACACATTATTAGCATTATTTAATAAGTCTAATATCAAAAGTCTTTTTCTATCACTAAATCATTGATCGGAAGAGAGACATATAATCATTAGACGTAAAGACATAGGATTGGCAATTTTATCTTAAATTTAATATAAGTTATAAACTTAATTATCGTTTGAAAGAGGCAAACAGCAGACTTTAATTTTAATGTTATTGCAAAAAAGATAGAAACTAGATGTAACGAATTTTATTTTACAAAAAATTATATCTAATTTTATTAGTATTCCGTGTGTATGTATAAATCTGTTTTAAGCAATTAATAATAAATTGGCAAATATGTGTCGAGAAAATAAAAACGTCTATAATATTTAAAATTAAAAATGTTGCTTTACAACGAAGAGAAGAAGAGAAGAGAAAGAGAATGAGTTTTTTTAAGATATTCAAAAATCAGAAGTAAAAGCAAAGGGAGAAATGGCGATCTTGTACATCGAGACCGTAAACTAAATTTAAATTCAAATACCGTACTCAACGAACTCGTTGCATTACAATTTACCGTCGGTATTTACTGTAAAAGAAAGCCCGTCTGTGGCTAACCTAAGACAGCTTGGTGCTTGCAAGATTCCTCGTCGTAATTTTCAGTACACCAGCTTTATGGCGGTAAAGTATCGTAAAGTTAAGACAGCAACGTTACCGGACTTTTGAAGATTGAAAGAGAAAGAAATAAAGAAGAGTTAAATCAGAAGATATGTATGTATATATCAAACTCGACTGTTGATTTGATAAATGAAAATACGAACAAAAATATATTTATTTATTATTTTCATTATCCTGTTAAATAAGTTCAAGATATTAAAAAAATATAATTTTTCTCTCAAAATAAAATTTATTACCACGTTAAAAGTTTGTTAAAGACTACCCTATTAAATATACATCTGTTTAGTATATCTTACATTTTACATAAAATAATTTTAATAATTACTTTTAACAGGATCGTGTTTTTTATCTGATAATAAATATGAGTTATTGTATCTACGGGTTATTATTTTTCTTTTTTTATTACCGTGAAAGAAATTTAAATAACTGGTACGATTTATTAAGATAATATTGATAAGTATTAATTCTGCATCGTTAGGACATTGCTTTCTATAAATATCTCATTGTGAACAATGAAACAATGACGATGCGTTGCTTTATTGTACCGCGAAGAATCGATGGGCAAGGTATAGGCTCACATTGCTCGCAGCACGTCGGAAATGTTGGTGGATAAATTGGCCGCACGGCTTCCACTGTACCTTCCCTTTCTGTAGTACTCTATACATCGTATGTTCATTGTACGCATGCACGTTTCATGTTGGTTCAA